TACCTGCACAAAAAAATAGTCAATAAAAAAATGTTATGTAGGGGTATTTGGCATCTTGCACTGCTTCATCATAATGAATGGGTTCTTGGGCTAGAGTAATAGCAGCAACAAACCTGCAATGCTTTTCAGAGAAATTTTCACAACTTATATAGTGAGATATAGGATAGGGAGTACCTGAAGAATACTGTGAAGTTGATTGACTTGGAGATGGACTTAACTTCTTTATGGTGTGAGTTACATACTCACGTAGCTTCACGTAAGGAAATTTGGTACGATGACCTCTTCCTAGTTCCTCCAAACTGCTATAGTCAATAAAAAAATGTTATGTAGGGGAATTAATTAATCAATGAATTAAAAATGAAAAACTCACAAGTGATACACGTATAAAGTAAGAAAGGACATGTTTGGGTAAAAACTAAACATGAGTACTTTTGAAAGATAAAAATAAAAAGAAAAATGAATATAAGTTTCTTCATGAATTAAAATTAGTTCATGTATTAACTAATCTGAAAAAGTTCCAAGTGGTTGTGTTTGTTCTTGGTTTTCAATAATGTTTCGTAGTTTCTTCCAATGGATCAGTGTATCTGCAAGAGAATAAGTACTATTTGCTTTTGACTAGTTCATTTACTTCAGTAATTTTCAGTTCTGAGCCCCTTTTCCTTGCCCATTTTAGTTTACGCAGATGGAAGCATATGCTTGGACATTTTACAAAATCAATGGAGCCCAATTTATGATGTAGCTGCAATACTTACCTCAATTCAGGTCCTAGTTATCCTCTATCTTTTGACATTGCTTTAAGACTATTAATGTTGGCATTGAATTTATGCTTCTGTGAAGTTATGAAAAAGCTCATATGGCATTATTTTTTATAACTGTTATTGGTATGGAGTATCAACCAATCTAAAAAGTCTTCTGTTGTAACCATATTTTTTTATCACAAAATTTGTATTCGATACCTTGCTTAAAAGGACCTAGTCAAGTACTACTTGGATCAACGTAATTAGTGTATCATAGGTAGATTCATGTGCAATTGTTAAACCAAATCTGTCTCTGAACAATACAATTATCTATCAGTTTAGATCTTGCAGTCATTTATTCTTTCCATTTCATCTTTTTCTTCAACTAGTTAAGAATCTACGAAGTGCTAATTCAATAGCAACCAACTTCATTGTTTTGTAATCTCAGATTTTTTCCTTCTTAAATAGAAAACCATAAGAATTTATTGTAATCATTTTAATTCCATCACTCAACAATTTTAAAATTATTAAATTTTTAATGAGAAAGACTAAAATTGCACAATTATGATATTTGAGAAATTAAAATTGTTCAATTAAAAATTGTGAGACTAAAATTACACAACTATAATCTTTTACGGACTGA